TATTTGTATGTTGTGCTTAGTGTCATACACTGAAGATTTCACCTAAAGAATACAGCTTTCCCCTGTGCTGATGAGCAGGGTGGTGTCACAGTTCACTCGGAGATAGGAAGTTGGTTTGGAATGACAGAAATACCCAAAAGGGAACGTTCTAAATCACAGACATTCTGCATTAAAATACTTGTGGCATTTTCAAGATTCAGGAGGAAGAAAATGTGTTCAGAACTGCTGAAGGACTGGTAATCTGCGATGCCAAGTCTCAGCTTGAAGCAAGTATTTATTGAATGGTGTCTATAAGGTTATAGAATGGTGCCAAGTTACAACCATATAACCAAGTTATAACCATATAACTATGGCAAGTTATTGAATGGTGTCTATAAGGTTTCTAATGGAAAGGTTGGCACCACCTTAACTGCAGTAACATTGGCAGGGGCTGCTGTGACTCTGATCCTAACAGCAGCCGTGGCTGCAGAAATGGGAAACAGCCTCTTGTTTGTTCCTCTTTCTGAAGCAGAGAGGGCATATGTGCTGCCCATGGCACAACCCCTTCTTCCTCTTGTATCCTCTAATTTGTCATCTTTAATATCCTGTTCTAACTGGAAGTTAAGATTTTAGCTAAATAATGCTGCCCACACACTAGGAGGATGAAACTGAAGTACAGCACGGACTGCACATTGTAAACTTTATGTCCTGCAAAACAAGTATGTGTTTTAGAATGCCCTCAAATCATTCTAAATCAGAAAAAAAATATAAAGATGTTTCAGTGTTTTGATGAACAAAGGCAGATTTAAGCATACACCTGATTTATTTGCAACATTTGTGCCCAAAGCCTGCTCCAGAAGTGTTACAAAATGTTCCCTTTTAGAGAAGATCTTTCAGAGAATTCTCTTTTCAGAGCCTGATGTTAATCCTACCTTAATTCATTACAGGCTAGACTTTGCCACTTCCATTAATGCAAACCCATCCCTTCACATTGAGCTGAAAATAGCTAAAAGTCAAAACCTAATTTAACTCTTAAAATGAAAAGACTGTTTGGAGCGATACATTACCAGGGAGTGTAGGCTTTGCAGAGCATGTTTTCTGTTTTATCTGTGTTAACTGCTGTAGCATTCAGGCCTCTGACATGCATTGTTCACTGGAAATGAAATTGCACACTGTCATAACAGTCTATTAACAGCACTGAATTTCTGCAGAACTTCACCTCTTTTCTAGAAGATAACATCTCTCTTTCCTTCCAAGGATAAAATAGCTTCCTCTCTTGCAGCAGTACATATAATGCTGCTATTGCTTGATGGGGATGTCAACTTCCCTTGACTATTAAGGAGAGGGGAAATGTCTTTGTTACACATTTCTGTTCTCCTTTTATCCTCTTCAGAGAGGCCCCCAGCTCAATCTAAACAAAATAAAGCCAGGGTATCATTTAAAAACAAAACCAGTTTGAGAACTCTTTGATCTCCCTGACTTCCTGTTAAATATACAATCGGCTGTCTCTTTACATCCTCGACCACTACAGATCTGATTTTCTCTACCGTTTATGTTGTCTTTGGCACTACACAAAATTAACATAGCACTAGCTAGAAAATCTCTTAGGCAAAGAAATTCAGCTCCTTCTCAGCTTCGCCTTTGCCTTTCTGTGTCCTCCTCTTTTCAGCCCTCCCACCCACCTTCCCATTTATGTAGGAGGACCCTGAGGTTTCTCCATCTCTTTTGTCTCATTTTTGTCTCATTTTCACATTGAGAACAGAAAGCCACTGGAATAATTTCCCAGGGAAGTGGGGGACTCCCCAACATTGGACACCGTTAAGATTCAGCTGGACAGGGTGCTGGGCATTACCTTAACCAAGGTTATGCTGTTCTACAGTCTAAATCATGCTTTGCTTAGAAATGTTGGACCAGATGGTCCTTGAGGTCCCTTACAACCTGGGATTCTAGGATTCTGTGATTCCATGCTTCTATGATGTTGTTGAACTCCCTATTTTCCATCTCTCCATCCTCACTCCATTATAATTTGAACAACTGGTTGCCTTTTTTCTTTTTCCTTTCTTTTTTTGTTCTTCTTGAGGGGGTGAGACAGGGTGGAGGGGAATGAGGCAGTTTGCTGTCAACTTTCTATTCCTTAAGCTTATCTCTCAACTGTCCAGTGTTCATCAGTTCTGGCACGTTAATGACTCACGCAACATATATTAATTATTTAGGCTTAGAAGGGAGTTATATCTGATATAGATGAATAGATGTTCAGGTATTTAGGTCTTAATGTATTTGTGCAAAACACTGCACATAATCTATTGAGCTATACAAGTAGCAACAGGAAGCTTAACACTCTATACTGGCAAACTGTTGATTCGGTATCTTCCAGATTTAATTACATTGAAGAAAACCAAACCATTGTAGCTTTAAGGACTAACTGCTCCCTTAAGTGCAACATCTGAAGCAGGAGAAATGCTCGCACACAATGGAAAGACACATCATGTTGCTCCATGCACAAATCAGATAAATCGTTCTCTAGCTTTAGCGACAGCAGAGACAAAAGGCTCTGTCTCCCACGTTGTGGCAGCAACATCTGGGTGGCTGCCTTCAAATTTCTCCCCTTACTTGAGGCCTCCTTGTGTTCAAACAGCAAGAGGAAGAACATAGTTCCACACATCTCAGGTAGCACCAAAACTGGCCAAGGCCTGAAGGAGGCTGTGAGAGCATGATGGACACAGGTTTTGACATGTCAGTGCAAAAAGGGGGAATTGAGTTTGCATGCATCATGGGGAGATTTGCTGTCACAATAACAGATCTCATGGGACTTTGAGTGGCTGATCAGAGAATTATTTTGTAACTTGCCTGGTTTCCCTTCTTGCCCAGAGGTGTTTTATATAATGAGTCCAATATTACATAAAATGAAGGGCCCAGAATATCAAAACAAATTGCTACGTACCACAGTCCCACTGTTACCAAGTACCAACCCAATGCAGAGCAAAGGCCAAACTCTCATCTGACCTAACTCCATTCAAACCCTGCCTTGTGATGCAGCAGCTTTGTGTTCCTCCTGCCTTGTAGAGTTCTCATAACCCCAGAAGCAATGGCCCTTTTCAGGGCCTTTTTCCTCCCCATAGAAGCACAAACCAATGATGAAGAAATTACTTTGATAATGGATCTTCTCCCCTGCTCACAGCACCCTTATAGCCTCCTCTCCCTTGACCCCAACCCCTATTTTAGTAACTAGTGGAAACCACTGACAACTGAGCAATGTGTAAAAACCACCCTCCACTTGATGCCAGGCTTCAGACCTGAGAGAACCTCACGTTTCAACTCAGTAGTCTCTAAGGAAAACTCATAACTCTAAGGACTGTCAGAAGAAACCAGAACTGAGCTGACTAATTTCAAATGTGCCTCAGTCTCCACCTCAGGAAGCTTGGTTAAGATTTTCAAAAACAAGCCAGAAAACACATGCAAAACCAAACCCAGAAATGGGAGTTGGACGAGGCCATCTCTGTACCCTTTCATTGCAAATGTAGTTTCTAGCCTGGCTTCCTTTCTTTTGGAGATGGTGCATCTCTTTGGAAACAGTCAGTTCTGTGAACCTTTGTACCTCTGGTTTGCCATTACCACATCTGGTCAGGAAGAGCGATGGTAGGGGAGAGGAGTTAACCATTTCTCTTTCATTGAGTCAGCCTCATTAAAAGAGGTCAGCCATGAGGTCATTGCCTATAGACCTGAGCAGAGATATGGGCCCATTTACTAAACATAGGCTGTATCTAGCAGCACATTCAATATCCTGTAAGTATATAGTACCGTGCAATTTCTGGCTGAAGTGATCGTTACTAATATTTTCTGTACCCTCTTCCTTTGAGCAGTTCATCTACATGACTATAAAGGTGAAGTGTTCTGGGCTTAGGCCATAACAATTTATGCAGTATTAAAGTGATATTGAAATATATACACTTTTTTCTTTTTTATGTGAATGCATATGATAGAGCAAGGGGTCAATGGATGTTTAATAACTGAGGTATAGCATTCTGGCTTTTTTAACACGGGGATCTTCAAACACTTTAAGGACCCTGATTTCTTGCCTGTAATGCATTTTGGCTCAGGCCCCCCCAAATTAAGAAGCCAGTTCTCTTTTACCAGCTCCCTCTTTCCTCTGTAGGCGTAAATTACATTTTACTTTCTCTAAGTGGGGAGCTGCAAACAACTCTGGTGCCTTTGGGGTAGGCGGGGAAAAGAAGTATTGCTGATTCTAAATAAAAGTTACTTGTCAGATCAACCTTGATAGCAGAGATAATGAGGGTGATCACATGGGAATATAGATTCAGGGTTTAGTTTAATCATCGTTCCGTGTCAGCTGCACTGATCCGGTTCCGCATGACTAAGTCAGATAAATGTTAGGTAACTGAAATTCTCTCTAGCCTCCTTACTTTGCACTCCCCTCTCCAGCACCCACAGTATTTGCTTCAGTGATTTTAAAACAGGTCCTATAAAGGACATCTATAAGTGCTGATAAGTAAACAGAGGACAGACTTTTCGTGAAGACGTATCTGAAGTTAAGCCACGAAAGGAATTTCTAAAGGCAAAAAGTGAGGTCATAAAAATCACATGTGCCTTTGAAAAGCTCTATCAAGGCTGTACCCAGGTGTCTAAATTGGCTTCCATTAACTTCACAGGGGCTCTTGAGTGCTGAAGGATGTGATTTCCAGTTCTATCCCCGACACAGGGGTGGGGGGGGAAGACCATCAATGCTGAAAAAGTTGCTCTTTGATACATTACAAAAATCCCTGTAACCAGTGATGTGGCATTACAAAACCTCATATCAAAACCAAGAAGAAGCCTTCTGTAGGCAGCCTTGAGCTTTGGTTTGAAATCTTGATACAGATCCAAATTATGCTGGTTAGCTCATCCTAAAAGAAAGAACAAATAAGTGCAGGATCCCAACATGTTACAATAAAACAGCATTTGAGGTTTCCTTAATTTGTTTGGTATCTCAGGTAAATTCATAATTAATTGTATTTTCTCCACAGCTCTGGTTTCTTCTGCACCGTTCCTACCTCTCACAAGTTTGCTGCAAACCTTGCACAGGTGATGCTTCTTAAAGCCCTTAACTCCCATATAATTGCATCAGAACCTCAGCCTTGGTTTCCTTTCATCTCATCCTTTATGTGGGCCAAGACAAGGTAAGAAACATGAACCCTTTGAGATGCAAAAACAGAAAACTGCATTATTATTTTAATTTGTTACAATTTCAAGGCCATTTGATCATACATTAAGGTCTTGACTTGGGAGTTTGGAATGCTTGCATTGGTAATTCTGCCTTTAGCCCCCATACCAAGTACTGTGTGCTTAAACTGAATTTGATGTGAGTTTAGTTTTAGTTTAGGGCAGTCTGCCCAGATTTCTTTTCCCTCTGCTGACAGGCTTGGCAATGCTTTAGCAGGGCCCTGAGTGTGTTTCAGCCTCACTAGCAAAGAGCCCTCACACAAAGCACTTGATTTCCCCCCAGAACAAATAAACAAGGAGTAAACATCCCTCCTCTCACACACACGGAGCAGGAGCATTTCTTTGTGATTCTCTTCCCCTTCTGTGCCATTCCTGTAGCCTAAAAAGGGGTTGAGCTTTATGGAAACTTTACATAAAAGCAAAGCTGCATTTTTTGCAATAGTAAGCACCCAGAAAAAGACTTAAAGAAAAAAGTAAACCCAAGGTTTTTGTATGTGTGGACTCTTTCCAGTTCAGCTGTGTTTGAGGATCCCCATATCAGTGTGACTGTGCTCTCTCCAAAATGCAGTGAAACCCCCAGCAGAAAAGAATAGGCGTTTTGTGATGGTTTTTTCCTTTTTTATGCCTTTTTTTCCTCTCCCCTCACCCCTGAAGAATGCACTTTCTTGGGTTACACATTAAGCTGTCAGGAGGCAAAATCAACACTTGGGATTCTACATGAAGCTTGAAAAGTTTCTCCACAAAGCATGGCTATGCAGAGCTTCTGCCATAAATCTTCAAGTTGTTTTTCTTATCTAAGCAAGCTATGTATCAATATTAACATATTATTCATGCACAAATAATTCCACACCTGACTGCTGCTGCCTCAAAGAGGATTCTTGATTCAGATGAGGATGACAGTCCCTTTGTGGGGCCTCAATTGCATTTCAGGTTAAAAGAATTAAAATGAAAAAGAGGGTAATGGCACGTCTTAATGAAGTAAACCTCAAAAATGAAGAAATAAGCAGCTTTTAACTGTTGGTTTTAATGTAGAGAAGCCACCAGATGAAAACTACTGGCTAAACTCTGTAGTAATTGCAATTAGTAAGCTCTCACTTGACTTTGGTGAGACAGGCCTGAGATTCAAAGCATTTGTTCTCTGGGGAGTGCGTGTACGTGTATGTACGGTATAAGCAGCCTCAAGCTCTGCCCAGGTTCAACATAAATGTTATAGCAAGCAGAGGGTGTCTGAGACACAGAGTTTCAATCTGGATGGGTGCTAGGGGAGCAGTGCCAGGGTGGGTTCTGCTACCCAAGGTTGTAGCTCTGTGGTGGGACCTCCCCTGCACAACATGTGAGTTTTTCACCAATATATTCCTTGAGAATCTCCCTTACGCACAAGAAGAAAGAGTATATTCCTTCAGAAGTGGATTCTTCCCGTAGAGGGTTTGACATGCCAGCAGTTGTGGACAAGAGGCCATTGCAAGTGGAACATGAGAAAACAGGGGCCTATTCATAAAAATAATATATTTATATTTACTTGTTAAAAGCCTTTGCTCAGGACCTTTTTTAAAATTCATCTGGATATGAAATGCCCACTTCAAAAGCCAAAATGAAGACTTTAACAGATGTGCCCTGGCAAAGAAAAGGGTGTAGGCACAGCAAGGAATTCAGAAGGGATAGACAGTTGTATATGGACACAGGAAAAGAATCTCAAATAAAACACTTGTGGCTGGGAGTTGGACTTTTTGTGTTACCTGTAATGAGCCTCTGTGTTTGGGGCTTTGGGGCCTGGCCTTTTCCTTTCTTACTTCTGGCTTCAGCTTTTTTTACTGGTGCTTTTTGTACCACAAGAGACTGTACAATTTTACGTGGACTTCAGTAACTCTAGCAGCCAGAGGATGGAAACGACTTACAAGGAGCAAGGTCCTTCTAACTGAGAGTATGGATCTTCTTTGAACCACGTGGCATACTTTAAAAAATACAAAACTGCAGGTTCAAGACTTGGAACAGGCAAGTGTGTGTGTGTGCAGTGTGTGAGCAACAGCCTGACAGCAGCTACTTGTATGCAAAGTCTTGGCAGTTCTGAGCATTTGCAGGTGCTGCCTCCCTGCAGCCCTGGGTGTTGAAAACATCCCACTCCATGCTGTCAGGATATCTGCATGGCCCCGTGGATGTCTCTAATAGGCAGCTTTATCTCCAGGTTAATTGAAATCATATTAATTTCAAGCTGTTAGCATGTTTGTAAAGATTAGATCAGGCCTTAGACAAGTGACTGTGGTTCAGCCCAGGGCTCAGCCTCAGGAGGCTTTTGTGTCCCTGCACACACCTCTCCTGTCCTCTGAGAGCTGTGCAGGGGAGGAGGCTGTGGTGTCCCCAGCATGAGGCTTTATTGTCTCTCATGAAACAACAAAAAACCTGAAACAACAGAACTATCCTCCATACTGTGGACTGCCATCCCCCATCACTTACTGGACATGAGTAAACCATGCTAAGAGCTAGCATAGAACGTATATTAAGATTTCAAAGCCAAGCCTTCAGTGATCAGGGGAATCCAGGATTAGGATTGCCCTTTTCGAAGCTCTGCTAGATGTGTGGTTTTCAGGAGGCCCTAAAGGGAAGTCCCGCTTTATTGAAGCAGAGCTCTCAGCAGCTTCCCGTGCAGCTGTGTGTGCCCTGCTGCAAACCTGACCCCAGGGGAGCAGCCAGATCTCCTGAGAGCAAGGGGCACACCATAAACATGCATCATCTTAGCTGAAGGTGCTTCATATCACATGGGAGCATTGTGTCAGAGAGGGGACAGCTCCAGTGTCCCAAGAGAGCACTTGCCTCTAACCACAGCACTGCCCTTTCTCTTCCTGAATGATCACCAAGTGCTGCCCATGTTGTAAAATGAGTAATGAGGGAATCTTACAGGCATCACTGGACAATTTCACTTCATCTTTAGAGTAGCTCTGTGTCCCAGGTGGGACATGAGGGTCTAGTGAAGGCCACTTGTAAATGTAAGTCAGGAGCAAAGAGGTCTTGCAGTGTAGGAATGGCCTACACTCTGCAAGAGTCCGTGGCTTTCCAGGGACATCAACTCCAGTTCAGGAGTGCCTCCACAAATAATTGCCAAAAATTGAGAGAGCGTATTAGAAGAAAGATCGCTCTGGACATGCTGCTGCTTTGTATTTTTTCCTTAGGCAAGAGGTACTGCCATAGTCACAGACAGGATTCTGGCTTAACTAGACCTTTGGTTGGAGGTGGTTCTGTGATTTTTACACTATGGAGCCTCTTGGAACAGGCAGGTGAATTAGCTTGTGACTCTTAAGTATTACGAATTTTCAACAAAGCAACTTTTTATTGTCTGTATATGTTTTCTCATATGTAGAGAAGAATAATTGCTGCACCCTGAAAGGGTTTGTCTGAGCTGTGTATTTCACAGTGCTGAAGTTAACTCTGAAGACATTAACTTAGGATGACCTTGTTTTTTTCATGACTCACACCAGAAGTTATTTTCCTGTAGGTTTGTTCGAGTGATTAAGATAGGTTTGCTTGCATATAAATGCTGTTCTACATATATATATATTACCTTAACCAAGGAAAGCTCCCACACTTTCCCTTGTTTATGCATACTGTATGTGACATAGATTCAAACTTAAATGTCGTAGCCCTTATTTACAAGTTAAGTTATGAATATAACCCAGTTTAAAACTATCTCCTCACTTTCACTGCCACCTATCTCACCCTCACCCTTTAGTGTGGCTGCTACTTATGCAACGTGGAGCAAGTGGAGTTGGGGAGGTCACAGCCCTCTTAGCTGTAGCTCTAATAAATCCTTTTTTGCTGTGAATTTCACAGGTTGTGCACCTGCTTCTCAGCTGTCTTGGTCAGTGTCATTGTCAAATTGCTTTCCATATACAAGTATGACCACAGAGGAAATTCTACTTAATATTTCAGTCAGGGAGTGAAAGAGCAATGGGGCAGTACATTAGAAGCTGGTTCTCAACCACTCCCTGATTTTCAGACTAGCCACAGTTGCATGTCAAGGCAGCCTGGGAGCTGTTTCAGCAGGCACCAGGCTCCCCTAAGACCTGTCTGTTGGCTGAGCATAGCCAGAGAGCTCTGGCCAGGCCTCCTCCAGCCCGCCTGTTCCAGCACGCCCCAGCGCAAGGGGTGTCGGGGAGAATGGTGGCAGGTGATGGAACTGGCTTCATCTCTGTCCCAAAATCCCTTGCTCCCTTCTTGCTGCTTGAAGGATATGAAGGGAAGATAAGGTGAAGCACAGAAGCTGTTTGTCAGTTTGAAGCTATCAAAAATACTTCTAATAAAGGTGCACATGTGCTTGTGTAAGCTTCAGCAAACACCTTGTTTCTCCTGCTCATTTTATATTGTTCCTGAATCAGAGCCCAGTTTTTCTCTTTGTGAAAGTAAAGTTTAAGTTTTGTTCCTATTCATTGATCCCACTAATAAACAAGGTACGTAGAGATTAACTTTACTAATTGTTAAGGTCTTAGTCTATTAGTAAAAGGTTTAGGAATGCAAGATAGCTGTAAAGGGTATTGTTTTTGTCTTCAAGTATATGAACCAAGTAGATGGTTTCCTCACATTACTGCAGACTATATACATGTTTGTTTTTCATTAAGGGCAAACCACAATTAGGACTGAACCTGTGCTCTACCTCAATGACTTTTAAAAAGCAAAGCAAAAACGATATCACAAATAAATGCATAAACTTATCCTGCCCAGAGGTGGCTTCCAAGACATCAGACGTTTTGTAAACCAGAAAACCAATCCAGACCATGCAAAACTGGGAGAGTCCTGTCTTTTCCTGCCCGTTAATTTTTCCACAAGGAGAGTGTCCAAAACTCTCTGAAATAAAGGATTACTGTGTAGGGGTTCAGAAAGTCAGATTTTCAGAGAACAGTTCATTCTGACAGGTAACCCCGGCAGGCACACAGGCTTTCCCATAAAATGTAATGTCCCTAATCTTGAAACTTTATTCTGCGTTCCAAACCCAAATGTTTGTTTGTTTTCAGTAGTGTTCAACAGTGCTGCTGTGAGTTTAGATCAGCGATTTAGTTGCCTATGCCTCATTTACAAGATTGTAAGCAACCTAGACTCAGTTTGGTTTAGTATTTAGCAAATTCTATTCGCCCTTTTGCCACTAAATCACTGTGCAAGTGTGAGCAAACCACTCGGCTCTTTCCCCTCCTTCCCCTTATTCAAATTTACCCAGTTGATTGCTTGCGATATGACTGTAACAGTGAAGATTAGCCATGAATATGTATAGAAAATTCTGGAAGCCTGGCTGAATCCAGGTCACAGCATGAATTCCGAGTGCAGAGATGGGATTTGAGTATTACTGCACACTTTCTGGATGAAAAAAGTAGGGAATGGTCCCCAGGATTTTCTAGCCGCAACAACTAGAAGGGAACAGGTAGAGTCCCCAGCAGAAATCCGCACTGAGATCACCCCGATGTAGTACTGACTTGCCAGGTCTGAGAAGGGTCCTTCATGCTCAGTCATCATCTTCTGGGCTTTTAGTTCCAAATGTGCTAGGCCAAGATAAAGAAAATGGAAAGAGATGACTTTAAACTTACCCACATTTAAAATGGTAATAAGTATTTATTGCTGCATGAAGAAATGTACTTCACCATCTGTGTTTCACTTGGTTCACATATTCAGGTTATTCTCTAAAGTTGTGAAAACCAAGATTTTACGTGAAAGTTCAGTTTCTGAACTGATCACCACCTATCAGGAGCTAAGCCTCTTCTGCAAACACAAATATACAGCAAGTCAGTCATTTAATCATCCTGCTTTTAGTGTAGTGAGTGTCAAAAATGTCCCGCATTGTTTCAGAGGTCTTGAGGAGCTACTTCCTCAAGTGATGCTGGGATCATCTACAGGGGTTCCACATTTCCCTACTTCAGGCATGTCAACCAAGGCAGCCAAAAACTGGGTCAGGGCAACGGTCCAAGATTTTAGTGGTGAGCCTCCAAAATTCAAGACACTCAGGGAATGCATGTTGGGAGTAATCTGAGAATGATGGAGAAAAAGGGGAAAAAAGGAGTATTTAATTTGTACAATATTGGTATCTCAGAATTCGGTCCTGTCAATTCAGACCAAAGCACAGTGTTTGTTTTAAACCCAAGTGAAAGCCAAGCCTCTGAGCCTCAGATGCTGTCTGAACTCCTAGGTTCCTAACTTGCCCCAGGGCAATCTGTAGGGCTGGCTGCTTGGAATCCGCAGGCACAGGAAGGTTTTGGATGCTGGCTTTCGAGGAGTCTCCCCACTGGGTTGCACTGGAACCTGGAATATGAGAATGTGGGTTGGCAAGAACCTGCGCGTCTGCGAGCTGCCGAGCGGCCCCGAGGCTTCCCGAGGGCGGGCTCACCATCATCCTTTCCGACAGGATGGAGACAACTGGGAAGTGCGTTTTGGGTCAAAACCGCACCATTTGGGAGCTGGGTCTCCCAAAACTCCTACCTGTTGTTCCTGGCCCACTGCTGCAAGGGGCTGTGGAGCAGATGGAGTTCACAAACATGAACTAGCCTCGGTGGAGGCCCGTGGTGACTGTGAGGTGCCCCAGCCACCTTGCTGCTTGCCTCAGCACCATTTTGGGGTGGTTTGTCAGAGAACTGGAGCCCTGCGGAGCTTATGGATTGAATTTACCTGTTTTTTAGGGCCTGGGCCTTCTTTCAGTGTGGAGGGAGCGATGGTAAAGTCTGGCAGCCCACGTGTGTGCAGCAGGAAAGAGAAACTGGAAATTTACCTGGATGCCTCCCTGAGTCAGCCAAACCCGAAGCATCTCCACAACACACCTAGATCTGAACCCATTGACAGAAACATTCCGTCTGAGCAGGTCTGGTGGTAAACATCTCCAGGGAGTCATTTGTGCCTGATACGGGGCAAACATTATGTGGGTACCCAGTGCTAGGGGTGGAAAGTTGAGGGAATGGAATAGAAAATGCAAGGGTTTGAAGCAAACCCTGCTGATTGTTTGAGCACGACTTGACCAGGTTGTGTTCAGCTACCTCTGTGTGGAAAAACACCTTCCCGCCCAGAGAAACAACTGTGGTGTGGGGCTGCATCCATCCCACCCTGCCTGAGGACCCTTCACTAAGGGGGGCTTTGTCACTTGGGTTTATATTCGCTGATTTCCCGTTCGATTGGGTTTGTCTCAGGCTCCTGATGTTGCTCATGGGCTTCCACGGCCCCGAGGAAGGGTAAACCCGCACCAGGGGCCGCGGCTCCCCCTCAGGGGGCTTTCCCGCCCTGCGCTCTGAGGGGGCGCGCGGCGGGAAGGCCGCGAGCGCCGCTGAGGGAAGCAGAGCCCCGTCCCGCCCGGGGAGCGGGGGCCTCCGCCGGCGGCGGGGAAGGGAGAGGTTTGGGGGGGGGGAGCGGAGCTCCCGGCGGGCCGGCCGCCTCCCCGCCCTCCCTCGGCGGCGTGAGCGAGCGTGTTTGGGAGGGAAGGAGGGGGTGGAAGCCGGGCCGGGGCGGCCAGCAGGCAATTTGCATGAGAGACAGACTGGGAATGAGCTGGAGTGGGTGCCGCTCCGCGCACACAGAGCGGGGCAGCAGGGGGAGGAGGGAGCTGCCGCCGCCGCCGGAGAGAGGCGGCGAACTCCTGGCAAAGTTTGGTGCCGCGGGCCCGAGGTGCTGAGGCACCGGCGGGGCGGGCGAGCAGAGCAGCGCGGCGCAGGGCCAGGCCAGGCCACCGCCGCCCGGGGCCGGGCTTTGTGCTGCCCGCGGCGCGGCGGGGCCTGCGCGGAGCGGGGCAGAGCGGAGCAGCGCGGAGCCAGCGGCGGGGCGCTGCCGGGCGAGCCAGCATGTCCTCCATCCTGCCTTTCACTCCTCCCATCGTCAAGCGGCTCCTGGGCTGGAAGAAAGGGGAGCAGAACGGGCAGGAGGAGAAATGGTGCGAGAAGGCGGTGAAGAGCCTGGTGAAGAAGCTGAAGAAGACCGGGCAGCTGGACGAGCTGGAGAAGGCGATCACCACCCAGAATATCAACACCAAGTGCATCACCATCCCCAGGTAAGGGGGGTACGCGGTGGTGGTGGGGAGCGCCCAGGGGAAGGGGCACCGCGGCCTCGGTACCCCCGAGGAGGCCCTGGGGTGCTCAGGGGCTCTACGGTCTCAGCCCTCTCCGGAGGGGCTCGGCGTGCTCTGCACAGCCTGGCAGAGGGCTTGTTCTGCTCTCCAGCCCCGCTGCACTTCGGTGCGGTGTTAGTCCTCTCCTGCATGCTCTATCCTGGCTCTATATATAGTTTAAGAAAAATATAACTGGCTAGAGAATTGGATTACTGTCTAGTAACAAGAGAGGAAGAAAGTAAGAGGGGAATGCAGGGGAAAAAGTATGTCTCCAGCTGAGATAAAAAAAGTTTGAAGCGCTCTGGATAACAGTTACACTTATTATTGTGGATACTCTCATTGTCAAAAGTTTCAGCGTGGTCTCCAGTACTGTTATGTGCAGATTGCCTTTTGATTAATGTATCAGGAAAATGGTTTTGTTTGGGTTGCTTGGTTTCTTCCATATTAGCTAGACAGATATTACTCTGAAGAGGTGATTTAGAGCTCTGCTGTGCATACGTTTTCAAATTACTTTTTAAACCGGGAATGCAAATGGAATGGCTGAAGGGGATTGTTTGGAGTGCAGCAAAAGCATGGGAGAGGGGATAAAACTTGGGGTTTTCATATTCTTTGAATTAACATAGACTTTATTTTTAGCCTCCATTCTGAGATCGATCCATAAGACCGTCATAAATCATAAAAGACGTGTATATAAGTATCCTATCTGAGAAAATATTTCCCAGTCGCTTTCAAATAGCTGGCCACAAGTGCTGTTTTATTGCTGCAGATCCGTTGCTTTCTGTGAGCTCAGCCAGATGACTGCTGATTCTGTTACTGATTGTTGTTTGAGGGTACGTTTTTTTTTTTGTTAAACAAAGGCCAAAGTTCATCCCAAATATTTGACTGCTGCATAATTGTATGCTTCTGCGTGCGAAGATATCTCTGTGTGTGTATTCATGCTTCTCTCTCGCACAAACAAATGTATGCTTTCTTGGTTGTCACAATGATTTAATATGCAGTAGCTAATACAAAGCAGCATCTGTTGCATGAAAAAGTGAAGCAAGCAGCTTAGAAATGTAGATGTTTGGAACTCCTAACATTTTCTTCTAGCTATGGTAGTGGGGTTTTTTATTTTTAAAGGAAAAATAAAGTCTCCTCATCTTTTTTGGTGGTGAATGACTGATGTGGCTAAGATTTTTGCCAGTAACGCGAATAGACACCTCAGCCTTTGTTAGTTACTCTGGCTTTTCCTAGTTGAAGCAGAAATCAAAACCTGCAGAGGTACCAGCTGATAAACATGCCTTAAAACCTCTATTTTTCAATTCTTGGTAAGCAGTGTGTTTTCCACGTTGATAATACCCTCTTTAAACCACTTCCCTGAAACACCATTTCAAAAGAAGAAAATAACTTGAGCAGCCCTGCTGCTATGACCTGGGTATTGTGCCTAGCTGTGACTGACCTGTTGGGGAGCAGAGCGTGAAGCCTCTTGGTACTTCTTTTGCTAGTAACAAGGTGGATTAGATAAGGGAGGAAGGTTTTGACATTTTATGGTGCAGAAGAAGCAAAGAGATGGCTGGAGTGAGATGCTTTAATTTAGAAAAATCATTTTCAAGCTTAAAAATACATAACACAAACAGGTACCACATGTGTAAATGCTGTCACCTTCAAAGACTGTCCTGCTTGTTCCTCCTACACAGAAGTGAATGTTTCCCCTAGACCTTGCTCTGTTAAAGGAGATCTGTACAGAAATTAAAACATTTCATGTTCATTTATGACACAGAGCCTGGATCCTGCAGATCTTAAACTTTGTTATGGGAAAAGTGTCAGCATATTCTGGTGGTAGCTCCTTCTGCCTTGGCACTAGTTTTTAAACATGATACTTTATATGTACTTTTATTGTTTGGGATGTATATTACAGAGGGAATGTGGTTAGATTGTACTGGACCCTCTTCAGCAGCATACTGAGAGGTTAATATATCAGGTTGGGGAATGGTGGGGAAATGTGAAACAGCTTGTCTAGAAGTCAGTGGCAGATCTGGAACTATAACCAGCCCTTGTGACTTCAAGCTGTGTGTTTTCTGGACTGTGCTCTTCGTCCTAATGTGTCTGTGAATTTGATTACCATGTCATTGGAAATTAGTGCTTGCAAGACAATTTAGTGTGGTTTTAGTTTGGGTGTTGTGTTGGATTTTCTTTTAATAATTCTACATGTGTCATTTTACTATTTACTCAAGTATGCTGGGGGGGGAGGGAGGGGGGAAAAAACATAATTAAAGATTAGTTCGTGTTGTGCATTCTCTGTAATGCATCAGTAGACTGAACTACAGTGGAGCTATGCCAGTGATGACTGGCCCAGCAGGAGTAGGGTAAGTCCAAAATTAGCTATTGTATCCATGAGACGAAGCAAGTTTCAGATGTAAAAGTGCTTGAGCTTTGCAGAAACATGGCTCGTGGGAATAAGGGCTACACAGCAAATTCTTGTAGTGATCAGGTGGGATTCTTTTAAGAAAGAACAGAAAAAAAATGTTGTTGTAGGGCTAAAGAATTAGAATATGAAATTTATTCCTGCTGTCACTTTCATCTACTTGGAACTGGAAATACACACACTACATTCTATCTCCTGACGTTATTAAACAATGAATAGTTGCTTGTGTACTTGTTCAGCATGTGTAACGCTTTCCAAGTGCTCCATTTGTTAGATGGTGTGACAGACACCTCAGGCCCTGGGTTTTCTGCCGGAAGGATATGTGACAGGCAGCAAAAGGCTGGAGGGACCTTCAAGGATTCCAGTGTAACACTCTGCTGGCAGGATTTTTCCTTCCTGTTTTTTTCCACCTGAGAAACCATCCAGTCTCAGACCTTCTGATTGTTTCTTGCGCTGCAGTTACTGGGGCTGGACAGAATGGTTCCTTTAGAGGACCTTCCTCCTCCCTCCCTCATCTGGCGTACTGCTGCCAAAGCCCATCCTTCCCCAGAAGGGAGTTCCCTTTAAACCTCTATGTACCGAGCTGGTGGGCTTTGGTGTCAGGAGCTGACCTGGTGAGTTGTAGCAGGCTGGGGCTGTGTGGCAGAAAGACATTTTTCATACTGTATTGGGAGGTAAAGTTGAAAACACCCATTCTTTTGCCCATTAAAATACATCCTTTGTGGTAGTTGCCTTGATCTTGAAAGCCCAGCTTTCAGGATGGGCATTTTGATGACTTTTCAGACAGGCTTGAGGGCGGTGTGCTGTTAGTACCCCAGCACAGCCAGGTTTTTGGGTCTGTGGCCTTTCTGCTTTCCTCTGTGAGAAAGCTTCAATCTGCTCCAGCTACTATCAGATTTTTTTGATGGCTCTATTCGCTTCTGAGACCAAAGAGCATGGTAAGCATGGAATGGTGGCAAAGTCTAGCTGACGTTAGTAAAGAATTACGTATCTAGAGATCCCTGTGGACTTGATCCCTGTGAGAAGAGCAATAAGTTTCTAATACCATTTCTGATGCGAAGAAAGGCCATACTGTTCACCTGACAAAACTGTCAGCCTTTTGCCCTAGAAATAAAATTCCTCTGAATTGTGATGAATCTTTAACTCTTAACCTATATAAGGGTCTGAACTGCAGAACATGTGATGAGCACTTAGCAGTTTCTAAAAGCTGTGCAGTATATATAGTCTTGCTGATATGTGATGAGATAGTAAATGTTTTGTTTCAAGAACTTTAGTGGTACTACGCATACCAAAACATAAATTTGTTATACATTTGCATATGCATATTTTTTCTTGTGAACTTATTACTGTATTTCTTTCGGTATCACGGGTGGTTTTAGGGGAGCCAGGAGTCCTGTGTTTAAGGAACACCTCCTTTTAAGTGGTGTTCCTTTTAATTTAGAAAATAGTTTTGAAAAGAGGTGGGTGTTATTTCTTATGGAACTCATCTGATAAGGGTAGAATGTACCAACTGAAATGGTAACACGGCACATTTCATTATTAAAAGCAGTTGAACAAGATGTTCCTTAAATGATTTACATTTTGGTGAGGAAAGCCAGGGAGAATACGTAAGTGATCTTAGGAACATCTTGGGTGTGAGCATCCCTTCTGTTGTGTTGGTGGTTGATCACATAATATTTACAAGAATTGACCATGCTGTTAGGATGGCCTGGAGACCAGGAAAACATGGACACTGTAAATATGAGAAGTGACAGAGGCTGTTGGCAAGGCCGTGAGATAGGTTCTTCTTCCGAGGCCGGTGCCTGCCTGGTGTCAGCACTAAGCAGAGGTCTGGTAGGTTTGTGTGTCCACGTGCGTATGTGCATATTTGTTTTAAAACCAGTTTTAACCTTCCTTGTTTTCAGTTTTGGCTTGTCCCTGTATGTGAGGAGCTTTAATATTGCATAGACTTGTTTAAGACTGTCTGCACTTTAGCTTGGCATAACAGTGCTGCGCTAGAGATAATTATAGTCCAGTCCCCATGTGCAAATGCTGCTGTTGTACTTGCTGGCTCCTTGTTACTGGTAATTTTACTGCTACAAAAGTGTGTCCACTAACCTGTGTACTGACCTAGCTTTATGGGCAGGTTTTTACAGCCCTGTCCTAATCTTTGTGCTGCCACAACCATCCTGCCAGCGGTGCCCACGTGAGCTCGCTCAGCTGTGGCAGCGATAGCTGCAGGGTACACACTGCTTTACAAAGCTGCTGGGAACTAACTTCATGGAATTAGTGTGACTTTGCAGATCAAGTCTAAAGGTGAAAATACAGTGAGTGTACACAGGCCTTTAGTCACATGTGCTTTCTGCCTCCAGTCCTACTTGTCCATCAGTGCCTTTCTCATCTTCCTCCCTGTTGTCTCCCCAAGGGTCAAACCCCCTTCTTGGGACACAGAGGTTTCTGCTCCCACAGCCCCTCAAGCTTCTCCCAGAGTTGCTGCCTTTTATATTAGCCTGGGTAATAGCACATGTAGTTGACTTCTAGTCAAAGTAACTACCGTTTA